TTTTGCATCATATTCTAATTTTTCGAGTTTCACCTGTACATCACCAAAAAAGTCCAAATCTACTGTACATTTTGAGTACCTTGTATTATATATAATTCAGCCCTCTCATCTTTAAAGCATAGACACTGGAAAATAGATACTTACATGAGTGCCAATGGTCACCACTAAATGCTTCTCAACATCTGGGCTGGCAAGGCAAAACCAGCAGGCAGCTGTCGGCAATGCTTTAAAATCAAGAGGAAATAGGTATTAGAAACTCAGCAGTGACTTAAAACAGGACATCACCAATGACTTCTACTAAATATTTTAACAGATCTTTAGAGGTCCTTGAAGGCTAAGATGTGTCAAATGGGCCTCTTTCTCTTCTCTCTCTACTCTGTCACCATTAAGGAAAATGCTTTAAAGCACATTCTGCTAGATCAGTGTTTTTCAACCTTTTTTGTGCAAAGGCACACTTTTTTCATGAAAAAAATCACGAGGCACACCACCATTAGAAAATGTTAAAAAAATTTAACTCTGTGCCTATATTGACTATATAGAAAGTAATTCTCCCACGGCACACCTTACACTATGTCACGGCACACTAGTGTGCCGCGGCACAGTGGTTGAAAAACACTGACTTAGTATTTAGGCTAGAAGCCACTAGGAAACCCAGGAATTCATTTCCATTCCATTCCATTCTATTATTAGTCTTGATTGCTGGTGACTGTTCACACAACTGGTTTTCTTGGCAAGATTTCAGAAATAGTTTGCCATTGTCTGCTTCCTAGGGCTGAGAGACAGTGACAGGCATAAGGTCTCCCTGTTGGCTTTATGCCCAAGGCAGGACTAGGACTCACAGTCTCCTGGTTTCTTTTCTACACCTGGTTCCTTGTCTACACTTAACTACTACACCAAATTGCCTCTGTAGGATAAACTAGAAAGTTTAACAACAACAACAAAACTTCAAACAAGGGCATCAGCAAAGCACTTGCATATTATTTCCAAGAAATCGGTTGCAGTGCATGCAGTTTATCAGTGGTTGAGTTCAACTTGAGAAAATATATATTTTACTTAATGACCATACTTTACTCGTGACTGTATTTCTAAAAAAACGGAATTTTAAAATCAGTTATTTGACTATTGTAGAAATTGCTTGAACTATCATGGCATCACAATATGTTTGCAAACTGTTTTTAAAGTTTACAGGTTTATTCCTATTATTTATTTTATTAATTCAATTTTAATCTGTGTTAAACAAATTGATTGTATTCATGTATTATGTGCCATCAAGTTATTTTTGACTTCTGGCAACCACATAAATAGATCTTCTTCATGATGATCTGTTCCTAACCTGTTCTTTCAAGTCTCCCAACAGTGCACTCTTAGCAAGTGTAATTGAATTCATCCACTTTGCTGCTGGTTATCCTCTTCTTCTTTTTCCTTCCACTTTTACCGGCATTAGAGCCTTTTCTAGAGAGCTGAACCTTTGCATAATGTGTATCAAGTAGGATAATTCATTTGTGCCCTAAGTGAAAACTTGATTGATTTGTTGATGGTTGATTTGTTTGATGATCTGTTGTTTTGTTTTCTTGGCTGTCCTTGGTATTCTCGAGAGTCTTCACCAACACCAAAGGTCATAGGTGTGAATACTTGCTCCTTTAAAGTGCAGTTTTCATTTCATATGATGTCATAGGGAAATACCATGGCTAGGAGGTTTTGATTTTTGTAGATATAGAGATATCATGTCATTCGAATATATTTTACAAAGACTCCATGCTGCTTTACCAAGTGCTAATCTGCAGTAAAGGAATACAAATCACTTTAAAAAAAAACCAGTCAAGGCCCCTTAAAATGTCTTCAGTAGGGTACTTTACTAATCAAAGTAATTATGATGAGGTAATATCTTACAGGAGAAAGCTGATATCTGACTCAGGACCAAGAAAATTGATCCTGAAAGAAGGGGAGGACAGGGGGAGCATTGATGAAATTCTCTTGAAGAATTAGTAGATGGTAAAACTGGCCGAGGAATGCAAAGTAGAGAGTATAGGTTAGAACAATATTTCTCAAACTTGGCAACATTAACGTGTGGACTTCAATCATCAGATTGCCCCAGCCGTCTTGCTTTTATGACTAAGAAACACTGTGCTAGTTGATAAAGACTGAAATCTATATTTTGTGGTGTAAGAGTAAGATTTGTGGTGCATAAGTCTAAATTAGAAGCAATTTATTAAAGGGTACAAGTTCTCCAGTTGATATAACTCAATAAGCTGATGCTGTGTGTGCGTGAGTATACACTTTGTCAACCCTCAGTGAAGGAAAAACTAGACTTTAATACAATTGTAAAATAGAGTAGTTAGAGTGCTTACAGAGTGACATTTAAAGTAAAGATAAAGGTTCCCCTCGCACATACATACTAATCGTTCCTGACTCTAGGGGACGGTGCTCATCTCCATTTCCGAATAGCCAGCACTGTCCAAAAACATCCCCGTGATCATATGGCCGGCATGATTAAATGCCAAAGGTGCCCAGACCACTGTTACCTTCCCACTAGAAGTGGTTCCTATTTTTCTCCTTCCATTTTTACTTGCTTTCAAACTGCTAGGTTGGCAGAAACTGGGATAAGTAATGGGAGCTCACTCCATTATGCGGTGCTATGGATTCGAACTGCCGACCTTTCTGATCGTCAAGTTCAGCATCTTAGCCACTGAGCCACCACGTCACTATAGAGTAACATTTAGCACATCGCAAATGGATTCCCACTGGTGCAATAGAACTTTTCCTTCCTGTTTTCTCCCTTCCTCTCTCTTTCCATGCTATATGTAACCACAATCTTCCCTGGATAGTTTTGCAGTATTCCAAACTACCATATTTTTCGGAGTATAAGATGCACCTTTTTCCCTCAAAAAAGAGGCTGAAAATCTGGGTGCGTCTTATACACTGAATATAGCATTTTTTGCCTCTTGAAACACCGTCCCGTGCCATGCATTTTGGTGACGGGGCCTGTAGGATGCTTTAAGAGAGCTCCTGGGGCTGGGGATGGCAGAAATTAGCAAAAAAACAGCCCATTTTTTACTCATTTTTGCCCCCCCCCCCAGCTCCAGGAGCACTCTATAAGCTTCCTAATGCCCTTTTTTTAAAATAAAAGGAGCCCATTTTAGCAAAAAAGTGGCCCGTTTTTGGGAGGTTTGCAGAGTGCAAAACTTTTTTTTAAATTTGCCTCTTCAAAACCTTGGTGTGTTTTATACTCTGCTCCATCTCATAGTCCGAAAAATACGGTTCATTTTTGAAATGCCCATAGGAGTGGTGAGAGGGAAAGAATGCCATTCAGTCTTCAATGGGATTTCTTTAGGATAGAATAGACCACAACACCTTTCCAATTAAATGAGCAAGAATGTGTTTAAACAAACATCTATACATCTGCTTTGAGTTTACAAACTTAGCGTAAAGTTTTGGTTAATTACTATTTTTGGATTTGGAGAAGAACATTCCTGCCCATCTGTTCTTACATTCATTTTTATTTGTATTTCAACCAACACTAACTTTTATTTAAAATCTCATCAGTAGTTAACCTCTGTTTCAGAAATTCGTAGTAACTAATTCTCATAAATCTGCATTGGGTTGTGAAAGGAAAAAAATATGCTACCATATTTGCAAATTGGAAACGGTTATTGAGAGTCGCACTAGGAATCTTAAATAAAACCTTATAGATTTTTAGTGGCCATAAGTTTCTAAGAAAGTGTACCTGCTGTAAAAGCAGTGATATTGTACTTAAAGCCTAAGGCCATAGAACAAGAATTGATTTTCCCTAGTTAAATAAACTCAATAAAGTGTTACAAACCTCTCATATTAGTTCCTCATGTTGAGAGAAAAAAGGATTTTCCAGGCAATCTAAAATAAGATTTCTATCAAATGTTACTCATGATACCATTTTGTCTTTAAAATTAACTTCAGTGGTAGTCACCAAATCATATAATACCTAAGGGCCCATTGAAATACTAACTTGATGCGGCTTTTATTTTTCCATAGGGAACAGACTCTCATAGTCATCTTGTCTTGGCCACTCTTATTATGGTTTCACACTTGATGTAAACATTTACAGTGTATAGACAGAGAAAACATCTATTTCATTTGTGCAGTTATATAATTGCTGGGTATAAACTGTTCACAGCTGGCAACATGTCTAACTGAACTCATATCCTCCCCCAGTCTCTAAGATGCAGTTACTTTTAGTGCCATTGTACACCCGGGTCAGTTGAAATTGCCCTTCACAGATGGTTAGCTTTCAAGATCACGCTTTTTATTTTATTTTGAAAAATAATTCTGAGTTTTCCCAGACCTCTCTTCCTATTCTGAGTTAGTTTGGAGGAAATCTATCATTCTTGGTGCCGAGCAATTTTTTTTCTGTGGGATTTAAAATAATGAACAAGATGTATAACTACAAGCTGTAAAACTGAGAAGGTATGATTTGACATTCTTTTCCTGCACACAGAAACTACTCTTTTTCTTTTAATGCTTGTAACAATCACAAGCAAAAGCATTCTGCTAGGTGCACAAATGATGTTCACACACTGAATCTGTGGGAAATTGCACTATCTAACATATGTATTCATAGTAGTATATTTATTCATGCAGAATGGGCACACACAATTCTTTCTCCTACTCCTTTTGGACTTCATAATAGCACCTCAAGGTCAGCCATGCTGAAACATAACAGTTGTCTAATCTAACACTCTAACCTTTATATTAAGTACTCAGATGTGTATATTGTTCCTATATGGGTATTTCAATGGTCTGTTGTTCATATTAGTGTTTAAGTATGTCCCTGCTTTCTTTCAGGAATGACAAAATTCTTGCCCGTGGTCTTACCAATGTTAGTTTGGGATTACATATTTAAAACTGTGTTTTTGACAGAAAGAGAGCATAATTATACTATTTTCCTGAAGGCAATAATCCAAAAACTATAAATTGAACTGAAACCATTCAGTTTATGTTTTTATTTAAAGGGAGGGTTCCTGCAGTGCTTTACAGGTTATTCTTATTATTTTTTTCATTTTAAAGAAACTTAAGGTTTTTTTTTTAAACACTCAGAATTGGGTATTATTAAACCGGTTGTGATCGCAGCATCTGCATTTAAAAATCCAGCTATTGTAAACAAACAAAGCCATTTCTTCCCACTAACTTAAAAATGTGATGATATAAGGAGGTTTCAAACAGTTCTCCGTCATCAGTCAACTATTCCTTC